CAGTGCCAGGACATTCAGCACCATGGCACACAGCAGTGCTGGGATGCTCGGCGTGGGAGCGGGGCCGGCAGCAGGCCAGGGCACAGGGCTCTGCACTTGTCTGGCATGAYGAAATCCCACTGTTCCCTCCTCCCCTGCACCAGGCATCCCAAAAACATCGCCCCACTTTCAGCGCGATGGGGCAGGAAGGTCTCGAGGCAGGAAGGTCCCAGGGCTGGGCGTCCCAGCCAGCATTGCCTGCACCCGCTTCCCTGGGGATTTTCTCTCGCAGGAACGTGCTCTCAGGGAGGAAGYGGGGAAAGGTCGGAGAGTCGCGTCTGGAAAACATTTCCCCGAGCTGAGGGATTGCTGGAGAGTTTCCCTTTAACCACGTGGTTAATCTTGTTGCTTCACAGGGCGTGAGGAGGCCTTTTCTCCCTCTCATTCTTGCTTTTCGCTTTTTTTCTTTTTTTTTAAATAAACATATCTGTGAGCCGAGGGCAGAACATACCCACGGAAAAGGTCAGGCTGGCACGGGGAAGGCTGAGAGCTCTGGACATGGAGCACTGGATCCTGGCCCCAGCAGCTCCCTGGGAGCTGAAGTGGGGCACRGTGTCCCCAGTCATGGGTGGCATAGGGGATAAAAGGGGGACAGGCTCTGTGCTGAGAACAGGAAACCCAGGATACCCCTGCTTCATCTCATGGGTGCTGACGTGAGCTGGGCTCCCCTGGGCTCAGAGTTTCATTTTTCCACCATAGGGGCAGAGCAGCTGAGGGGAAAGCTGCAGTGCTGCTTTGGTCACACCAAAACACCGCCCTGGAGCAGGAGGAACCGTGGCCACTCACTGTCCCCGTGCTGGGATCCCATTGCCCACAGCTGGATCATCCTGTGCTGCCTCCTCGCAGCCAAATCCCTCCCCTGTCCCTGATCCTATCCTGCCCTGGCATTTCTAAACATCCCACAAGCACCGGCTGGGGGATCCTTGAGCCTGAGATGGGTGGAGAACCCCCCACCTGCTGCCCATCCCTGCCACTGCCCCACTGGAGACCCCACCCCACCCCAMGTCCCTCCTAACCCAGTGGCACCATCAAATGTTTGTGTTTGAACTAAAATTGATTCCTCCTGAGACGGGAGCAGCCGTTGTGTGCTGGGTCCTTGCCGTGTCCCCACCATGGGGTGCTGCACTTGGGGACGATAGACCAGCCCCCCAGTGCCATGGATGGGGGTTCTGGGGGAGGCTGGGTATGTCTGAGGGGGCCTGGAAAGCTCTGCTGGGTACCAGGAGACCTCCCAATTTCTCGGCATCCTGCAGGGCTCCCCATGCCAGGGCAGAGCAGACAGGGATGCAGCGTTGTTTATGATCTGTCCCTGAACCCAGTGCCTCTTTTGAGCCCTGGTTTGTTTGTTCAGGGCTGGAGTCTGACCAAAACAAGCCTTCTTGGGCAGCTCTGCTGAAATTTGGGAAGCTGAGGAACAACAGCACAGAAAATAGCTGCAAGCTGCCTCTAAAAGGAGAGAGCCAYGCTGCAGGATGGGGTGGGATTGCTGTGATGGGATGGGGATGGGGATGGAATGGGGTCCTGGCTGCCCAGTGCTGCACTGCCTTGTGCTCCTTGGGGCAGTGGTGAGGGGCACTGCTGCCCACAGCTGCCCAGATGTGCTGTCCCACCTTGCCTGTGGCTGCGTGCTCTGGACAGGGCCATGTGCAGCCGTGGTGGGACCCCATACAAAGGGGTCGGCCATACAAAGGCTGCCCTCATCCCAAGGGGCACACAGGGCACAAAGGCACCAGAGCACAGGGACACCAAGGCAGAGAGAGAGCTCAGGGCACAGGGACTTGGGGGCACAGGCACCCCAGGACTGTGTGCACCCAGCAGATCCTCCAGTGACGGAGATCCAGTGCCACCAGCCAGGTTGTCACTGGCCCTGCTGACCCCTCTGCAATACCCTGGGCTGGCTTCCAGCAGAGCCACGGTTCAGCGTTTTCCCAGCTCTTGAGGAATTTGTTCTCTAGGATGGCTGAGGGGACAAGGAACAACGTCCTGCACGTCGCTACTGCCTGCCCTGTCCCCCACGGCCAGGGTGGGTACCCGAGCAGCGTGGCTGGCACAGGCCATCCCCAGGACCCCCAGGCAGTGTGTTGGCCCCATCCCTGAGCACTGCAGGGGCTCAGCACATGCCAGGGGCATCACCCAGGAAATGGGGGTGCAGAGGCACACGGGTCCCACTGCACCCTGCTGGGACACCGCAGGACACAGATGTGGCTCTGCTGGTCAGCGACAGCTGGGGACAAACTGCTTCCCCTCACASCAGCGCAGGTATCCGGTGTCCCTGCCCGGGCCGTGGGGTTCAGGGCCCCCCAGGGCYGTGTCCCCCGGGATCAGCTATTCCTGGGTCTGACGCAGGCAGCCGCGCTCAGCTGCTGGGGGCTCCAGGAAGGAAATGCCGCTTCCTGCCTCAGGCATTGGGGATGGGGTGAGCCAGTGGGGGCTGGGGGGTGGCAGCCCTGTGGGTACACAGCCCCTCTGGTGTGGCACCCCACTGCCCCCACCCTGCACCAACCATGAGCCATGGGTCCTACAGAGTCTCACCAAGTGCTGGGAGCTTTGGCAAAACACCCAAGAGGGAAAATGATGAAGCTGGAGAGATTTTGGTGGCCCCTGCCTTTGGGACCCTCGCCCTGCCACTGGCCAAACACCTTCCCAGGATCCTTGCTCGGAGCTTGGAATGCTGATCTCCAAGGGATGCTTGTCATGGCTAATCCAGCCAGGGCCATGAGGAACCCCATGGCAAGGATGGACCAGGAATACAGCCTCAGTGGGACATGAGGATCTGGGTGAATGATCTTCAGCACCCATGAGCCGCAGCACCTGCAGAACCTGCAGCATCCCCTCCATGGAGACAGTGCCTGATGCCAGCTGCACCCCTGCAGGGAAAGCTGAGCTGGGTGCTCAGGTGAGAACAGGCCCCAATGCCCACTGCTGCTCCACAGAGCTGCTGCATGCGTGGGTGCTGGACACAGATTCCCRCCCACACCACCTCRCTGCCTGCTCCCCYCATATCCCAAACCCCACACCCCACACCGTACCTTCAGCAGCCACTGCGTGCTGTTCTCCAGGATCCTCTCCAGGTGCCGCAGGCGCTGGGCAGCCCCGTGCCCGGCGGTGCCGGCCGGCGAGTCCCTCTGGAGCAGCACGTTGGCCGGGCCGGGAACAGCCCCGGGAGCGGCCGGGCAGGGCAGCGGCTCGGCCTCGGGCAGCACGAAGGTGTAGCTGCAGTGGCCGTGCTGCACGCGGTGGTAGCGCCGGCGGCCGCCGCCCTCCAGCGCCCGGCGCTGCGCTCCGGCCGCGCACAGAGCCGTCGTGGCACAGGTCAGCGCCACGAGGCCGAAGCTGAGCGCCCGCATGGCGCGGGGGTCCCCGAGGGGGTCCCCGGAGGGTTCCCCGTGGGGCCGGGGTGCCGCGGCGGGGGATGCGCCGGCAGCGGGATGGGTCAGTGGGCGCTCGCCGCCGCCTCCGACCGCGGCGATTTCGGCATTTCCTCCCTCTGAGCCGGCGCTGGCCGCCCCGGCCTTTTATCGCCAGCCCTCGCAGGGGGAGAGGGGAGAAAAAAAAAAAAAAAAGAAAAAAAGAAAAACAAAGGAAAAAATCTGTTTAAAAACAATACTTCTATCTTTTTTCCTTCCTCTGAGTCCACTGCGGGGAGATCAAGTTTCACACGTGATCTATAAATGTCTCTCTCTCTCACACACACACACGCACACTCACACACTCTCACACACGCAGCCCCGTCCCTCCCCCGGCCGTTCTCTGCACAACTCATCGCACCTCCCGGGCTGGGCAGCGCCGCGGCAGCACCGAGCCCTCCCACCCGTCAGTTCTGCACCCAGCGAGTCCCCCCGATCAGCGCCCAGTGGGACTCACCACACCCAGGCAGCGCAGCTCCTTCCCCAAGCCCCAGCTATTTATAATGCCAGCAGGAGCCAGCCTGGATTTGGCTGCTCTGGCCATGGGATGAGCCCGTGGGACCAGGAGGGGGACTGTGTCCCAGGCYGAGCTTGGCAGGACACAGCCAGACTGTGTTTGGGGCTCGGTGTGCCCCGATCCCGGCCCAGGGGTCTGCCGGGGACTGTGAGATCAGCACGTCTGCCAGCCCATGTGCTGGRACAGGACCTAGGCTGTGTCCCCCAGTGTTGGGGACAATCCCAGTGTTGGGGACAGGCTGCCAAGGGGATGCCCAAGCATCTCAGCAGAGGGGGATTTTTCTCCATCAGCCAGAAAAAAAACTCCCTGGTGATTCCCAGACCCTGTGGAATGGCAGTCCCAGTGCCACACTTGCTGCTTGCTCCTGTGCTGGCTCAGGCAACCAGCAATGCTGTGGGACTTTAAATAAAAACTTGACATMAAATCTTTCCCCAATAGCCCAGCACTGGGGGGCCAGGGCAGGGTGTCCCCCCGAGGAACCCAAGCTGCAGAGYTGGGGAATGTGGCTTTACACCGAAGCCACAACCAGCATCCCAATCCCCTCCGGCAGCAACTCGTAAWGGGGAAAACAGGGACGCAGGAGCGATGTTGTGGGTTTAATCCGTTTATTTGTCATGAAGCGATCGCAGGAGCTGCTCCAGCGGCTTTGTGCCGGCTCTGGGGCTGGCTCGATGCTGACACCCAGCGCTCCTGTCCTGAAGATTTGTGCAGCCCCCGCAGCCCCGACACCCCGTGGCCAGCCCCGGACTCCCCTGCTCATATTTAGAGCAGGGACGGGGAGTTCGGACCCCGGCAAACCCCAGCCCAGAGCTGCCTGCGGCTGKGGCAGCGATTTGAGCACACACACGGTAAATAAACTGATACAACTCTCTGTGCCTGTGGACACTCGGAGTGAGGCAGGGAGGGACAGATGTCATCCCTGGGCTCAGCACCCCACGGTTGTGGCCCACGGTGATGGCTGGGAGGGGGTGCAGTGCTGCTTCCAGCACATCGCGGTTTGGGGATGCAGGAGGCAGCAGCATCCCCTGGCTGGGCAGGCACTTGCACTGTGTGTGACCCTGTCCTTGACCAAACACAGCCATGGACACCCCAAATTCCTGTGCCCACATCCAGCTGGAGAGAAGCTCTTCGAGCCTGGGAGCCTGAGGATGGCAGGATTTAGCCCGTGGGGATGCTGAGTGCTGGGCTGGCATRGTCCCCAGAATGGCYCYCAGTGTGGGGGYCCAGCTGCCCTYGGARCCCCAGSACAGCAGGATTTGGCCCTTGGTTGTGCTGGCAGGGATGCTGAGCTCCAGGTTAGGCTGCTGTGAGCAATGGTATCACCCCAACCCTGGGAGCCCTGCTGCTTCCCATGGCAGTGGCTGAGGGTGGGGGACAGACACTGCCCAGCACCTGGAGCAGCTCAGTGGTGCACTGTGCCCCCCAGCACTCCCATAAAAGCAGGACCCTGTAGAGCCAGGGCATCTCCAGCCCTGAGGGACAGTATCCAGGCAGGCATCAGCTTCATTCTCAGGGTCCTACCCCTGGTCTAACCCCATCCCACACGTCTGCAGGAAGGGAAGAGATGGAGCAGGCCAGGAGAGAGGGAAGACCAGAGGAATAAAGGAGCCACCCCCTCCCCAAGCCCTAGGGCTCTGCTTTAGACATTGCAAATTAGATTTTCTGAAAAGGAAATGTTTTTCAGGCCATAAATTGTCTCAAAAGAAAAGGGGGATGGGGGAGCAGAGAAAATTGTGCAACTTTTTTTTTTTTTTTTTTTTTTTTTGGATGGAAAAACAGGGGTGATGTGGCTGGAGCACCGTGGCAGGAGCTGGTTGGGAGCTCCTGCCATGGTGCTCCAGCTCCCAAGCTGGTGCCTGCTAGGTGCCCGTGTGCCGTTCTGTCTTYGGCTTCTTCTGTCGCTTTCTGCCTTTATTTTTGGGTTCAGTTTTCTCTGCAAGAGAAAAAGGARGAGAAAAGGCAGGCTTGCTCGTTAGCCAGGCAACGTGACCTGATCTGAGTCCTATCCATGGAATGCTGATCCATCCTATATCCATCCCTCAGAGTGTTAGTGCTGGACCCAGTTTCTGATTTTTGGGACCCTAGAGCTCTCTCCAGGACATGAAACAAAAGCGTGGGTCTCGGGGAGGTCTGGCTGTGCTGGTAGATGGGCAGAGGGACATTGGTGTGTTGCCCCCACATCTCCCATGGCTGGACTCTAAATCCTGATATTCMAAAATCCCCAGGAATGGTCTGGAGCAGCTCAACCAAAACAGGAGCTGCCTGGCAACACCGCAACTTTATCTGAGCAAGGACTGTGGATGTCAGAGAGGGACAGTGGTGGCCCCAACACCCCAAAGCCACGGCACAGCTGTGCTCAGCTCTGCCATGGTGGAAGAATGTGCCTTCCTTCTCTCTGGAGAGGAAGGTGGGAAGCTGCTGCCCACCACCGTGGGACACAGACAGCCCCATGATGGGAAATGAGGCAACTTTGGGGTGCATCCATGCATAGGTGCTAATGCTCTCCCTGTGGATGTCCCTCCCCGTGTGGATGGTCCCCATCCCCGTGGCACAGCCAACGTGCTGGTGRAGCCTGAATTCACCCGGTACTGTCAACCCACTGTCAGCTCTCCAGGGTCAGGCTCCTGACACCCAAATCTCYGCTCACCCCGAGAAGCTGCCCCACACACCCTCCAGCTGGCCGAGATGCTGGCACTGAGACACCAAAGAAACAGGGATTCAGGATAAACCCTGCTGTGCCACGGGCTCCAGTGGGACGGGGAGTCCTTGCTAAGCAGCAGAATAGTTGCCCCAAAAACCGGGCAGCTTTGTSTGTCCTTGCTCCTCTGCGCCCACTCCAATTAGAGTGACATGGGGAGGGTTCAGTGGTGCGAGGGGCACAAGGGACCAGAACTGTCTCTGGTGCTGCGTGTGCCAGCACTGTTGTCCCCAATCCCTTCTGAGGGCTCCAGTTCTTGTCCTGCCTGGCTGTTTCTCGACTCTGATCTCCCAGACAGTTGCCACCCACAAAGGAGAGGGCACGGCACGCACGCCAAGCGTCTGGAGAGCGGGACAGACACCCAAGGCAGATTTACAGCAGCGCGAGGGGTTTGTGCCACGGCCAAGCGCRGCGGCTTTTCCCTTCCAGCCGCCTGGATGGCTCAGAAGTGGTGGCACAAATCTCTCATCACACGGTCGGGTCCGGCCGCCTGCCCTGGCTCGCCTGGGCTCGGGGTGTCTCGGATGCATCAAGTGAACTCCTCGTCCTCCTCCAGCATCTGGATCCCATAACCCAGCACTTGGCCAGGCGGGCAGGAGCCTGGGAGAGAGGGCAGACGCACGCTCTGCCGCGGCAGGGACGCTGAACAGCCTGCCCAGGAGGGGGACACACGGAGGGGCTGCTCTGTCCTGCAGGGGCTGCCTGGGGGACGCTCATGGGATTCCTTCTGCTGTCTCTGAAGCTGATCCCAAATTGGCAGCCTCAAGAGTAGAGTCCTGCCAGTCCCTGAGCCCTTCACCATAGCCTCAGGGTTTCCAGATTGCAGGAGCAGGAGCCTGGGCAGAGGCAGGAAGCCAAGAGCTTTTCTGGGGTGCCAGTGCCTTCCCAAGTCACCTCACAAGTCGAGGTGCCCCAAAACATTGGCACAGCAGTCCCTACCAGTGGGAGCCACTGTGCGCCAGGAAGGGCTGGGCATGGGCATGGTGTTGCAGGACACAGTGCTCCAGAGCAGCCTGTCCTCCCACACCAAATTTTTCACATCAAACTGTCACCAGCTCTGTGGGTCTGGAGCTGGCACAGACCAGCAGGGAGGGGAACCAGCGGGGATCCTCAAAATCGATGCCACCTGGCACCCCAAAGATGTGAGCTGGGACCTGGGTGGGGAAGGGAATCAGCTCCTCTGCATTGTCAGCAGGAAAATATTATTTATGATTGATGGTGCTGGGATGAAGCCACTCTCCTGGCTCCGTGGCCCCCGCCCAGCACGCATGTCCTCTGCTGTTGCTCCCCTTCATCCTTTTCTCTCCACCCTCATAGTCCTGTCCTCTCTGATCCCCGCCACGCTGGCGGTGCCGGCCGGCTCATCCCACGGCACGGAGTGATCCCGCAGCTCTGAACCGCAACCCTTGGTGGCTCAGATCTGCTGCCAGGCACTACAGATCGGTATCTCATGCATCCCCCTTTCTGCCAGTTATTAAGTGGAGATTTATTAGGGTAGCTTYAGTCCAGACGCCTGCATCCAAAAATGACATCAGCCACGTTCCTGGTTCCCATCGCCAGCCCTGCACCCGTGCACGCACCGCCCGCACAGACCCTGCAGTAGGTCTGGTGCTCTGAAAGGTGGGGGAATCCCTGAGTCAGGGAGCCCCCAGCCTGAGGACGAGGTGGGGGGAAGCACAGGAACATGAGTAAACATCTGGCCAGATGAGCCATGGAGGGAGATTCTGCCCTGGGGTGTCTCCCGAAAGCTTTGGCCGTCAGAAATCACCTGGGTGATGCCCTCGTTCTCCATGAGCGCTCCAGCTTTTGGGGAGCTCAGAGATTTTTGCAGGAACCTCCCCTGCGTGTCTCAACCCTACTCACTCACAGCGGCAGCACAGAAAGCCTCCTTTCACATGGTGGCACGGTGGGAGCTGGAGCTCCGCAGCCTCATCCCACCGCGGCAGTTCATGCCAGTGCCCAGCCCAGCCCAGCGTGGAAGRGGACACCGGCTGCTCCCGGGCAGTCTCGGCGTTTGCCAGGTGGGAGCAGCCAGCCCTGGGGCTGCTCAGCACATGTGCCTGAGATGACGGCCTTCCCCAGAATTTCAAAATGCCTGGGAGATGACAGCATAGCTCGCYGGCCACTGCCAGACCCCTGCTGCCACCGTCCTCCTGCAGTGCGCCTCGGGCTCACTTTGGAGGGGCACGAAGCTGTCCCCAGCCCCGGTGGCGCGGTGCTCACCTCCCGGGCAGTGCTTCTTCATGCGGCACCTCCTGGTCTCCAGCTGCGCGGGGCAGGCAGTCCCCTCCTCCCGGGCAGCCTCCGGCACATCCCGCACCCGCGTCTCCACACCCCACTTGCAGCCGCAGGTCCGGCTCTCGCGGGTGCAGGCGCTCCACTCGCTCCACGGCCCCGGCTCGCACGTCTCTGGGGGGACARAGGAGCAGAATGGGATCGGCGGCTCCTGGGCGCCAGGCACGTCCCCAGGGACGGCGGGCACAGGGTGCGGGTGCTGCTTACCTTGGCACTCGCGGGTGCCGGGCTGTGCCGCAGTGCCGGGGGGGCACTGCCGAAAACACTGACCCTTGTACAAGTAAAACTTGTCCTTGCACTTCATGCAGAAGTCTCTGCTGAAGCAGCTCTCGCAGCTGGGCGACCTGCACTCTGCCGGGAGGGACGGCAGGTCAGCGGGACAGCCCTTGGCACCACCGGCACCCACCGGCTCCCAAAACCTACGGGGTCCGGGCTGCAGCTCCGGGCAAGAGAAAAGGGGACGAAGCGCCCCATCCCGGCCGCCCCTGGATCCAGCGCCACCAGGGATGCTGTGGGAAATGGCCACATCGCCCTTCCCAMAGCACTGGACCCTCAGAGTGGCGAGGGGAGCAGGGGGGCAGTAGGACAGGGGGGATCCCGGCTGGCACGGGACGTACTTGTGCATCTGTTGACCTCCAGACCCCGCACGCCAAAGTAGCCCGAGGGACAAGTGTGGACGCACATCCCGTACTGGCGGATGCCGTCCCTCCAGATGAGCAGGAAGAGCCGGTGGTGGCAGGTGATGCAGCCGTTGTCCTCAGAGCACAGGACGCAGCCCGTGCAGTTTTCCAGCAGGCCGGCACTCGCTGCAGGGACAAATGGACGAGAGGGGCTGTGGCACCGGTGCTKAGGTGCCAGGGAGGGTCTCAGCCCCTTGGCAGCCCCTCTCTGATGCACCCAGCGTGACARCACTGTCCCATCTCCCTGCAAATACCACCCCACCTCTCTCTGTTCCTCAAATCCTCACCTATGCCCACGCTGGCTGTTTGGGGACACATGGAGCCATCGCTCCCAGCTTGGCCGTCACTGACTGCTTCCATCGCTCTAAGATCCAGACTGAGGGTTTGCCCCATGCCCGGTACTGCCCGTGGATGACAGCCTGAGCCACATGCCAAGCTAGCCTTGCCCTTCCCGTGGGAAGTGGAACAACCACGGGGTCAGTGGGTAGAAATCTGCTCTGACCTGGATTAACCAGTTGATGCCTGTTAAGTGTCAGAGGACAAAGAGCATTCTGGATGCACTCAAGAGGAGCTGAGATAAGGATCTTCTGTTTGCTCATCAGCCTCTACTGCCTCCCCGGCTGCCTGCGCTGTACTCCCAACCTGTGGGAGGGTGACTGACCCTGAACTGGGCTCTGTTCTCAGGGACAAGGACAGGGTGCCCACAGAGACACTGCCAACTGTTCTTGCTCCCCAAGCCCACAGAAATGCAGCCTGGAGAGATGCTCCTGGCACAGGRGCACTTTGGGAGCTGGGGAGCATTGAGCTCTGGGGGCTACACATATCCTGTGTCTTTTTGTAGCCCCAGGCTGCTGGGCAACACRAGAGGGGCTACTGAACTCCTGCATGGAGGCATCCAGTGCCTTCACCATACCCTGTGTTGGGAATTGTTTGCTTGGCTCAGGTGCCACGGGCTGACTAGTGGTGACAGTGCCAGCAGCCCTGGTACAGCATGCTTAGGACCTGGGYTCTAAAGAAYCAGAATGGTTTGGGTTGGAAGAGACCTTCCAAGATCATGTCAATCCAAACCCCTTGACATGGGCAGGGACACCTTCCACTAGACAAGGTTGCTCCAAGCCCCATCCACCGGGTGCTGCCCGGCATGGACACGGACTCAGCCTGGSATCAATGCCTGGCACTGGTTCCTCTGACCCCAGGAGCTGCATCAGAGGCGTCCCACGGCTGCGGGGCTGGGCAAGAGGCACTGGGAAAGCCGGGGAAATGCTGGCAGAGGATTCTGGCTGACAATGACAGCAGCCCCATGTGCTGGTCCCTGGCACAAGCCAGTCCCTGGTGCTGTGGTGCCATGCAGTTGTCCCCAAGCTGGCTCATGCCAGTCCCTTTGCTGGGGCACACTGTCTGGGACAGCAGCACTGCCAGAAGCCTTCACTAGAGCTGCGTCTGCTGGGAGCGCTAACGAAGCACCTTGGATCCATTAAGTTGTTATGGTCTCCGTTACATATTTACCAAACGCTGACAACATTTGTGTTCCTGGCTGCAGCTGGAGCGGCTTCCCTGGAGACCCGTGGATTTACGAGCGTCTTTCCCTTTCCTAATTGTTTTTGATATTTAGGGTTTTTTTTTTTTGCTGCTCTTCTTCCACCCCTAGCCAGGGCAGAGAAGGTGGGGATCCCCGGACGAGCTCTGGGGCCTCTTTCCTCTCACTGACTTTGGAAATAGCCCTGTGGTGTGGAGCTGGGAGAAGCGGGGTCATGCTCCCCCACCCCACAGTGCTGCTGGCACGGCACACGTCTCTGCCACTGGGAATGACACTGGGAGCCACCACAGAGCACTACAGAATGTGGGTCACCCCAAAACTGTGGGACTGGGAATTAGGGACAAGTGGTGGGTTCTTCTCCTGCCCAGTGGTGATGGCAGAGTGCAGGGCTGGGATGGGCACTGGGCAGAGGGCACAGTGGGTACCTGAGCTGTGCTGGACATGAGTGTGACAACCTCCATCTCTGCCCACCCTGTGCCCAGTCCGGCTGGGAACTGGGAGGCTCTGGGGCACTGCTCTGCCCAGACCAGAGCTYCCAGTGGCATAGGGAGGCTGTGGGGTACTGCAGATCTTTCATRGCTCCTGGACCCTGTGCTGGCCTTTCTGTGCAGGTTGTCCCAGGGGATATAACATGTCTGGGGTCCGAAGCCGTGTGAAGCCATGGCTGCCAAGACCTGAAGTCCTTGGAGCATYGGGCTACTGACCATGGGGCAGGGCTAGCTGCAGCCCCTCTTRGTGCCGGGCTGTTTCCCATCGGGGGTGTTTTGGCCACCAGCCTGGCCACCCACATCAYACACACCTACTGCCTCCGCATGCCTTTAACATGGAACAGCTTCAAGGGAAGCTCTCCAGGCTCCAGCCCTGAGAACCCTGGTCCTGGGAGGTCCTGTCTCTACCCTTGCACACGTTGGCCCCAAAACCAGGGCATTCCTGGCACAGAGCTGAGTACCAGCCCTAGACCACTCCCCACAGCCAGCTGGCACTGCCTGGCACTGCCCAGTGAGGGTACAGGAGCCAGTGCCCAATGGAGGGGGGCACATGCCTCAGCACAGCCCCAGGACACGCTGCCCTTGCCCAGACACTGAGCAGTGGCTCAATTGGTGCCTTTTCCTGGGGGAAGGATGGGGCAGGGGATAGGTAGTGCCTGCCATGGCTCTGAGCATCCTTCCAGGAGGTTTTACTCCTAAGGCACTTCACATGTTAGACAGAGAAAGGAAATTTTGGAAAATCAGCCAGTTTTGTGCGATCCCCACTCTGCTGGGGTTTGCAGAGCTGGTCCCAGTGCCAGCCAGCATCCCTAATCTCCTGCCAGCCCCAAAGGCAGGGYTGGCACTGGGCAGGCAGTGCCGTGGAGCTGTGCTCTGCATCTTCCTGCACTGCCAAGCCAGCCCCGTGCCACGCACCCGGAGGGGAACGCAGACAGTCCTGAAAGGAACTCGAGGGGACGGGTTGGGGGGATGCTGGTTCCTGGCACCCTCCAGCCTGGGTTCACAATCCTGCCTGCTCCATGCAGCCAGGGCAGGCAGCCTGGTGTCCCAAAGCCACCCCGCASTACCCGAGCGGGACAAACCCACTGCGCACACCGTACCTTGCTTCTTCCACCGGTTCTGCGTGAGCATTTCCATGGAGCTGATGAATAGCAGCAACATGAATATTATCCACTGCATCTGGGCAGGAGTRATTTCGGGCAGGGAAGGAATCAAATCATCCAAGCGGCTGTCGGGCTCGGCTCCTGCCAGAGCCGGTGAGGGGTGGTGGGAAGGCGACGAGCGGCTCCGGGCTCACACCATCCCAAGCCGAGCTTCGGGCACGCAGCCACACTTCAGGGCAGCATGAGCCGGTGACACCGGGGCAGGCTGGGGCTGTCAGGCCCGGGGAGTGCTCATGGTGGCGGGGAAGTGCT